ATCTTGGAAAGACTCACTGGTGGGAGACCCCACCACTCGAAAGGCGCCGTAATTAGAATTACCATAAACTAAAGAAGAATTCTGATTGGGCACACTAATAAGACTAAATCTCATTGGCAACGCCATGATCGACAAGACAGCTCTGATTGGCGACACCAAAAGAGAGGGAATCCTCACCGACCATCGCGTGGTCCAGAGAAGGCTTTAAAAAAGGCAACGCCGGCATGGCACAATCACTTATCTTATCTTATCTAACAGAAAAAGAACAATTCAATTAAACGCAAAAGTCCAAGATTAATCTATTCAACACAAGTACTAGATAATCAAATCATACACTCGCAGCAGTGGAATACAAAAAAGGGAATCGAGAACTACGAACATTAGTCCGCACAGTATATAAAATCAAACTACAAGGAGCCCTACGAGGCAACACAAAGAATAAGACAAAACATAGCTATACACAACTTGCAGACTCACGAGGTAACGTTCCATTCCAAATTAATTCTTAACTATATCAAGCTATACACGCCAATCTGCAGATACGTAAAGCTATCTGCAAAACATACCACAAGCAATTCAAGCCACGCCACGTGCTCATATACAAGGAAGCGCGGGGGTTTACGACCTCGCTCTTCTGTGTGTATTATTTCATCTACACGTGTGTCACATATAGAGGACTAGCAAGGCATCAACTTCTTCCTGTGTATGCGACATACGTGAACGCTCAGAGGCAATAACATACAAATCAAGAAAAGCAAGCGCTCAATCATAAATAAAACTCATTATAATTTAACTAATGCAATTATATAAATAAAACAAAACTAAATAACAAAACTACTCTTTATTGAATACATATACTATCTTTCCACTAGCCTGCAATCCTCCTATCAACATCAGGAGCTCACATCTAATCATAGTTACTTGGCCCTCCTCGCCCGGTACACTATTTTTAAACAATTGGTTATTAATAATGATTAAATAGCAATGTTAGAAATAATGTTATTATTGAATTATTTTACATTAATTAACAATATAATCAAATTTATAAAAAAAAATATTTATGTAACTTAACAATTTGCATATTTAAAATTATATAATAAAATAAAAATTAATATTATATATTTCTTTAAAAATTTTATTGCAATATCCAGTCATTATTATTGTTTACTTGAAGTAACTTTAATAATTGAATCCAGAAATTAATCAATTCGAATATTAACTTTGAGAGTCTTTTTTGTAAAAAAATCTCTATAACTAATATTAACTAAAATTTTATAAAATTTTATTATGATTATGATAAACATCCATATTAAAAACATATTGTAGCCTCATCTCAGAAATCGGCTTCCAAATTTCATAATTCAATCTATAAATTGATGCTTCACATATTTTAACAAGAAATTTAAATATCTAAAATTGGAATTAATATAACGTATATAATAATTTTACTATAATTTTATTTTCATATTGAAATATAATTAATTATTAAATATAATTATTTAAAAAATTATAAAATTAATATAATAATGTTGAAATAGTAGATAAACTATACCCACTTCATTTGTTAAAATGATTGTACAAGTAATAATAATAATCATTATATCATAATATTTTATTTGGAAAACGTAGTATATTGTATAATGAATGAATAATGTAGGGAGGCACTCAATATGCATTAATTAAATTTGTATCAATATATTGGAATAAAATTCAAGTTCATTTTTAAATAATCAATATGATTAATAACTTTGCAAGTATTTGTAAAACTTTGCATAAGAATGTTTTTTATAATAAATAAAATTATAGATAGTTATGAGATTTTGACACACAATAAATACTGTTATTATAATTCAAATTTTTGTATAATTGTAAACGAAGAAATTAATTTATATATTTTAATAACAATTTTTATTAAAATTATATATATTATTATAACTACAATCTAATAATATTATTATATAATATTTAATTTTAGATTAAAATCCCTAATTTTAGGCAATGTTTAACTATTCAGATAAGCTTTGATGAAATAGTTGATCCTCAAATGATTTCTTTAATAAGAACATTAACAAATCCGGCCATCGTGAGATACTATTATTCATTAATATCGATTTTAATACCATAAAAATTGCCCGTAACACGTTATTAAAAAATTTTAATACATTAATTACAGAAAATAATCTGAAAAACATAATAATTCAATCAATATCACTTTTCAAAATACAATTTTATTA